GGGGGGAAACTCCCACTGGATTTATATCTGGGACTCTCCACCATTTGACCTTAGAACTGAAGAAGCTTCTCGGATGAAGGTGAAACGTCTTCAAGCAACTTAAAGAAGTCCAGACGCTTTTGTTTCCAAGCTCCTTTGACTACGATGACCTGGATGACTGAGAACCTTCACAGACATGTCAGTGTTAACGTTTGATTTCCTCACTGCAGCAGATTATAAACCTGCTTAATGCTAATATGTTTCTGAGCGCTGTGTGCAGACCTGACGTGAAACAAACACAAGTGTTGCAACACAGCCTGTTCGTGTGGTTGATCTTTCTGAAGATTAGCCTGAGGGTGCACTCGTACTTATGTGTAGGTTTGTGGTTTTTCTTCAGAAACAGGACTTGGCGCTGCTGCAGTGTGTGACTGCGAACCAAAGGATTTTATTACAGATTTTGTAAGAAGAGAATTCTGCTGCAAAGGCAATACAAAGACTTTTGTTATTTTTGTAAATATCTTAGAAATATGGTATCTAACCAGATATGGCATTACCCTGGCCTCCAGTAACACTCTGAGGAGTCTTTGTGTCATTGTTGAGCCGGACTGCTTTCTTCCATCAGTGCAATATCTGCAAAATTAGAAGCGTCCTGTCTCAGAGGGACGGTCTGCTGTAATGTTGTAGTACCATATCACCCTATTAGAGCACTTCGCTCTCGCTCTGCAGGCCTACTTGTTGTTCCTAGAGTATTTAAAAGTAGAATGGGAGGCAGAGCCTTCAGTTTTCAGGCCCCTCTTCTGTGGAACCAGCTTCCAGTTTGGATTCAGGAGACAGACACTATCTCTACTTTCAAGATTAGGCTTCAAACTTTCCTTTTTGCTAAAGGATATAGTTAGGGCTGGACCAGGTGACCCTGAATCCTCCCTCAGTTATGCTGCAATAGATATAGGCAGCTGGGGGATTCCCATGATGCACTGGGTGTTTCTTCTTCAGCCACTATGTGTTTATGCATCACTTTCCATTTAATTATTAGTTATTATTAATCTCTGGCTCTCCTCCACAGCAAGTCTTTATCTTGTCTTCCTCCCCTCACCCATCATGGCTGCTGTCCTCTCCTCCTTGAGCCTGTTTCTCCTAAAGATTTCTTTTTATTAAAATTAAGTTTTTCTTTCTTTCTGTCACCAAGTGCTTGGCTCACTGGTGTTTTTTTTTCTTTTTTTTTATTGTTGGGGTTTTTGTGTATTAATGTAGAGTCTTTACCTTACAATATAAAGCACTTTGAGGTGACTTTTGTTGTGATTTGGTGCCATTTAAAATGAATTCAATTAAATACCGAAAGGAAAAGATGCATTCAGTCGGTTGGATAAACATAAACTGGGAGCTGATGTGTCAGTGCTACAACTTCCTGTGGAGGACGTGGATGCTGACACTGCTGGGTGAAATTCACCAGAGGACTGCAGCTCTGAGATAATGATGGTGCAGCAGGTCCACTGATCGGCAGCTTCTAGTAATTCCAGGTTTGTAGCTCCAAAACTCTGGAATCATCTTCCTCCTCAGATTAGGTCTTCCTCACTAACCGTCTCCTCATGAGCTTCAGATGAGTTACAGTTTATTGTGTCACTTTCACAGTGCATCTCTTTTGCTATTATTATATGACTTTTTATCATTATTTACTTTTATCATTTGTATTTATCCTCCAATTTTACTTATTAAAACATTACTATTATTGCTTTAAATCGTTTTATTGTTTCTTCTGTTTGTATTTGCTGTGAAGCACTTTGATCAATGTCGGCTGTGCATAAATGTGCTAAATAAATCAAATGACTTGTCTTGACTTGTGTACCTCCTTAGTCCCAAAAATCCTCACAAACCTGTTCCCAGTCTGGCGCCATGTGGCTGCAGTTCTTCCAGAAAATGTGCAGAATTTCATCTGAGCTGAAGCTGGTTTATCTTCTTATTCGCTGAACTGTTTTAGACTTTCTCACAGTAAGCATGCGTCCTTCTCCTGCTCTGAAATTTAACCTTTTTTATGTTTGTCACTGTGGATCACCCCAGAATAAATGAGAAGGAAGAGAGCCGACTGCAGCCACGATAGGTTTTATCTCCACTCTCTGGCATGTAGTAGAGCTGGAATGATCTTCAGGAATTATAAACCATAAAGCCTCGTGGCTGCTGTATGAATTGGCCCAAAGCTCTACTCTGAGAGCCACAGACACATTTTGGAAAAGGTTCATGTTGGAGAAGAGGATGATGTCTGAAGAGGTCACAGCTCTGGTAACACTTCGATTTAAAATGTCTTAAATGCACCGAGCAAGCGATGAAATCCTTTGATAAAAAACTTGATTGACTGTAAACAACAAAGCCTGAATCCCTGAATGACAGCAAACACATGCAGCTTTCTTTCCTCCAGCTCTGCTCTTCAGTCACATTCAGTCAGCATCATCCTTTCATGCCATCATCTGTGCTTTGAGCTCGCGGTCAGAAACCAAACACAGCTAAACATTTCACGCAGGGTTTCATTCTTCATCTTTAAACAAAGGTTGGTCTTTTACACTGAACAGGAAATTTCATCCTTCTTTATTTCTACTCGCCCACCTTCATGACTCACCTTGTTTATATGGTTGCACATTCCTGAGTCACTGCAGGTTAATAACTAGTGCGTCCCACATGTTTACAAAGATATGGCTCCTCCACAGCCACAAAGGTCGGACAATCCTACAGAAAATATAAGAGTTATATCTGTATTCTTCTTCCACTGTCACAGGTGCCACAGTTTTCTTTGATCACTGAAGATAATATGCTGTCAGTGCATGTGTGTATAATAATGCTGACACACAAAGCCATTATTCTACAGTTCTTGCACATGTTTTTGTCAAACTGAGGTCATGCAAAGTGACCATGAGAGTAGAACTGGATCTTTTTTCCTTATTGACTTTGTAGCCTTTGTCATAAATCATCCCTGTATTTAATCCTGAGATAACACTCAGCAATAATAATAAAATACACACCTTCATTAGCAATCCCAAAGTAATTTTAAACTATTAACCTTACAGTCAGTTAATCCTGTGGGGGCTTAGTAGATTCATAGTTCAACTCCTTCATCCTGAGTGGGTGGATGAAACTAGCAGCCCACATGTTCAGGTTCTCAGTAAACATTACATTACTGGCTGTAAAAAGACTTTAAACTTTATTTAAACCTTGTTTACACAAAGCACACTCTGAAAAATCAGCTGGTATGAGGCCACGTGAGTCATAAATCTGTTCTTCAGAATCTAACCCACGTCATTTCCCACCACATCCTATTAATTAAGATAGTGTTAGATTAGATTAGCTGTGTGCACAGTGATTCATGAGTGGTTCGTTGTGTTTTCCTAATATGGACAGAAATGTGGACCTATTGCTTATCGTTAATGTATCCATGTTAAATAGAAGAAATACAACATTTTGGTGAAAACTGATCTATTCTGTTCATTTCTAGCTCTGTGAGAGAGATGAGGATGGATGGAGGACAGTTAGTGAATGAGGAAGTACAGAGCTTTATGAAAGAGGAAGTGAGGACCGCGAAGATGATGAAGAGCGGAAAGACGGTTACTCCAGATGACTAACTGACGGTGCAGGACATGTGTGAGGACAGAGGGACAGTAGTGAGGTGTGCAGTAGGAATGACAGGTGGGTTCAAGGTGGGGGTGGGATTACATCAGGATCTGAGCTCCTTCTTGTTCAGTGATGATGAGCTGACAGAGGAGGTCAGCCAGGAGTCTCTGTGGATTCTGATATTTGCAGACAACACTGTGGTCTGTAGTGAGAGTAGAGAGCAGGTGGAGGAGAGCCTGGAGAGGTGGAGGTGTGCAGACGTCAGTAGACGTGAGACTGAATACATGTGTGTGAATGAGAGGGAGGCGGGTGTAACGGGGAAGGAACAGAGGCAGCGACTTTGAATACCAGGACACCGTTCTGCTCAGCAAGGTGCAGATAACCAGGGTCTCTTTGAGTTACCTGGATTTATTTCACCTGAGATTGTTGATCAGGATAAGATGGCACATAAAGCTGGTTATCAGCTAAGTTGAACCAAAGTCTGTAAGTTTCTGAGCATGAGCGTGTTCATGTGAAAGAGGTGGCGTTGGAAACATCCAACCAATCACAGTCATCATAGCAACAGCAGCTGAATTTACAAATAAAGACTAAAATTATAATATTAGAAAAATATGAAAAGGTTAGAAGAAGTAAGAGAGATGCTGCAGAGAAATCAGCAATATGAGAGGAAAAGCTCTGTGCTGTAGTTTAGTGTCCAGAACCCTGCATGAATCTGTGTGAGCGCTTTACATTTATGTTTCCATTTGTGCAACACGGTTTTAGTCTTTATTGTATTAGATGAACAACCTGGTTAATCTGTATTTATTACGAGGAGGAGCAGGAACAGCCTCAGTGTGTGTGTGTGTGTGTGTGTGGTTTGTGTGTGTGTGTGTGTGTGTGTGTTTTCATCATATAGGTCATATTAGTGTAAAAAAAAAAAAACCTGCAGCTGTCTGACCTTTTTTTTTTTTGAAAGAAAGTGTACTTTATTGATCCCCGTGGGGAAATTCCTCTCTGCATTTAACGCATTCACTCAATGAAGTAGTGGGCAGCCATTGGGCACCCAGGGAGCAGTGTGTACGGATGGTAGGTTGCTCAGGGGTACCGCAGGGTAGCTGCTCAGGGGAATTGAATCCCCGGCCTTCCGATCAGGGGGCCACCACTCTACCTACTGAGCTATCCCTGCCCTGTCTTTGACCTTAAAGGCTGCAGATTCCGTGGTGGGAAGGTCCTTTCTCTTTACCTCAGCCTAACCTTTTTACAATAATCTGCCATCTCTGCTCATTAATCTTTCTTCTCTCCGCGTTTCTGTGTAACTGTCGCTGTTAAACAATTTCAATCTAAAAGGCGCTGATGTTGCGACATATCACACCGGAAGTGCAGTTATGGTTTACTGCTTTAAGAGAATAGAAACTCAAAAGTGTTTTGGAGTGCGTCAGTGCGGGAGGGGGAGTGGCTCCGAGCTTTTTCTTTTTTTTTCTTTTTAAAAAAAGAGATGCTGTAACGTTTGATCCTCAGAGGGTTTCTGCAGACATGGAGCTTCCACCACTTCTGTTTCTGAGCTTCTGTTTCCTGACTTTGTCCGGACGGACGTTTGCTGCTGAATCCGGTAAGAAACTGATTGGTTTAGAGTGATAATCAGTGCAGGCGCAGTCACGTTTCACAGCAGCGGATGGAGCTTTAACGCTGCTCAGGCTGCTGCTGTAGCGGGTGGATGACTGCGGAGTCTACACCTGTGACATCAGCTTTTAACGCAGCCGCGTTTTAGAGTAAAACAATGAGAGGGCAGATTAATGTGCCGCATCTTCAACAATGAAACGAAACTATTCTCTTTGGTGTTTATGATCCGTTATCAGAGATGCTCATTATTCCATCCTGACGTGTTTTAACCTGTAAACACATTTCTGCTTTCATCCTGCTGACACGGTGTGACGTTTGTTTGTGACTGAATGCGATTTTTTTAATGCATCTAAAGTTTTATGTTCTCTTAAAGTGGGTCGACATCAATAAAATGACTCCTAGAATAGAGAATAATTAACCACACACTCTCTCTCTCACACACACACACACTGTCTCTGTCTCTCTTCCTGTTTCAGAGTTGGAGCTCTTTGGCTCCTGTACTCTTTTTCCTCACACTCCTTGTTCCTCTCACTGTCTTCTGTCACACCTGCAGTCTTCTGCTCCTTGTTACCCACCACAGTATCTGGTTGGTTGTTCAGCAGCTGCTTGTCCCTCAGAACCACAGCCCTGCTGTTCTCAACCATCACTGGTGGTGTCTCCCATCGGGACATTTGGACTTCAATGCAGCACAGATGTTCTTCTACACTTTCCCAGCTTCTTGGTTGTGGTGCTCACTGTACGCTATCCTGTTCTGGTTCTAGTATGATCAGAGCCTCTGTGCCGTCCTTTTGCCCAGGTCAATGTTCACATCTCTGAGCATCTCCTCTGATATTGTAAGCCTGGGGACTTGTGCTCTCAGTTGGGTGGTTACCTTGAGTTTGGGCACAATCTCCATCTTCAGCTCAGTAGATGCATCTGTGATTGGAGGTGGCTGGACATCATCTAGTTCAGATCCACTCCTCCTTTCTATCAGGGTCAGCTCATTATCTCCATGCTGCTCACTATTGATCCCACTCAGAGCCGGACTTGGACAAAAAATTGTCGCTGGCAATTTTGGCCCAGGTGACCCACCATGATCAGTCACCCAGGTTAAATATGTGCACATGAAGCAATGATAACACTGAGTAGTGCATGCAAAAAAAAAAGGAAATCGAACAATTAGTCATATAATTACATTATTTTCTGTTTAAAAGATGCATTACTTAGCAGGACTTAGGTAAGTAAAATAGGTCTTTGTGTCTCTGTCCTTCACTTCTACCCCAACAATCTGGCCCAACTACAGACTGGGGTGATGGCAGTTAATGTTGTTAGCGAGTGCTAACCTACGTGGAACCTCCAGGGTTTGTTAAAAGTGTTGGTGGTACTGCTGGTGACGGTGCAGCAGTCCTGACTATTAATGTGACACATTTGGCTGCATCTGTTTCTATTTTTTTTCTGTTTCTCTCTCAGCTTTTCAGCTCCATGTTTTGTTTTGTTTTTCTTTTCTTTGTCCATCTTTATCAAACACATCATCCACACTAAACTCTGTTCTGCAAGGTGCACCAGTGCACAGAGAAGGTGGCCTGAATAATTATATTGACAAGGAAAAGAAAATTGACCAGATTACCAGTCCAGCCCTGATCCCACTGAGCTGTGGGCTCTGGATCTCCAGTCTCAATAGCAGCTGTTTTCTGCTGATGTTGCGCTGAGTTGCTGGATGCTGTCAGTGTGGATGTTGGCTTTTACTCATCCACAGGTCTCTCATGCATAACATATAATTTTATTTAGTTTTTTAACTCTTTCAGGGTCTGTTTGTGTTTTAGTCCCAGTTCTCAGAGCGAGTGATTCAATGAGTGAAGAGACCAGTAGGATTAATATGACTACAAAGACGAACACTAGGCTCCATTTCCTGAAGTTTTCTACAGTCAGAGTTAAAACACTCTGTGAGCCATTAACATGAGGCTGTTACTGATTGCAGTGTGCAGGTTCAAACTGGCAGGAAGATTTTTGAGAGCTCAGCTGGTGAAAAGGACACAGCTTGGATGTGTTTCAAATCTTTATCAGTGAAACATTTTTGGCCTCACAGCGTTGAAACTGTTGCTGCCTGAATTGGTGATATTTCATCAAGTGGAAATGAAGAAACCTGCTGTCACAGAAACTTTCTTTAACCTCTGATGAGCCACCTGGTCACCAGTGACCTGGTTAGAGGCAGGGTTATGTTCACTTTTATCTCTTTATACGACTTTTTTATGCACTTACCACACTTAAATAGAAATATCATCCCAGAAGAACTGCAAGACCGAAATGCTCATGAGACACTTGAACTGAGAGGCAACATCTTCTACTTTCTGAAACTCTGCTTGTTTAGCGTGTAGTTAAAAGCCGGTCTACACCTAACACCAGCACATGTGGCTCACTGGTGACCTGCTGGATGTTTGTGAGTTTAATCCATTTCTTGTTATCTTGCCAAATTCTCCTGAGCCCACACCTGTGTTTGTTTGCCCCATAAACACAAAAGTGTGAAGATCTTTGCACCAAATCATAAATTAAGAAATGAGTTTACAGTCTTTCCACGCAGCTTTGTGGTAACAACAGTAGTTTAGATATTTGTCTGTTATTTAGTCATGTTTGAGCGAGAAAGTCAAGTTTCGTCTTCTTCAGGAAACGGATGAGGCGTGTACTGCACATGCACGTCTGTTTCTAAGAATCTCACGTTTGTTCACTTTCCTCTCCACCTCTGTCACCTCTGCACACAAAGCACAATGTGTGATGGGGAAGAAGCACTAAAGGGAGGAAGCAGCCAGTCAAAGTGACTATCAAGGAGTGTGCCTCTACTTCACATGCAGTCGTTTGCGTAAAGATACCGCATCAAGCGGATGCAGTCATTTTAGCAGAAGACCATTTCCTGAAAGAGAGAGAGAGTTCACTTTAATGGACCTCGCCCTCTGTGTTCTGTCAGTGATGCAGCACTTTGTTCAGTGAGCGTCTTATAGAGCAGTTAGCAGCATTTGAAATTATGTTTAACAAGCAAAGTAAAAACGTGCTGCTGAAAAGAGGAAGGAGAGCAGGACGAGGACTTTGGATTTGAGCCGTTCTGTCAGAGACTCTGCTGAGTGCCCAAAAGATGAAAATTAGATATTTGAACACTTTATGTTTTTGAAGCTCTTGATGTTATTGATTTTTGCTATATGATTAGAGCGTGTCTGTGTGCTAACAAAAATAGCTGCCCTGAACGCCTGGCATAAACTCTCATAGAAAACTGTTACAGCTGAGATACTGGGACTCAGTATTTGTGAGACTGAAGAGGATGAATAATACAGGGAACACAAAAAGAATCATTTTTCAGTGTCATCAAATACACAAATATGGACCCTTCAATTAAAAAGAAAGAAAGAAACTTTAAACTGACAATAAACATTTACTGAAAATTGACTCATGAAAACCAGACACTGCTTTTGAATTGTGGTTCAGCAGAATGAGTAAAAAATGAAATTGTTCTGGACAAAAATGGTCCTCTTAATTACTTTACTACACAACCTTCGGAGGCGATCATTGTAATGAAGCGAGTTTTGTAACTGTTAGTGAGACGTCTGCACTCGTCGACGCTCCTCAGGAGAAAACTGCTTCAACTGTCTGTGGTTTGAAGGGTGCCTTTTGGAGACAACATTTCACTCCAGGATGCCTTGATACTCTTGAGATTTCAAGACCCGCTGTGCCAGATGCACCAAAGCAAGCCCAAGAACATAACCAAGGCTCCTCCATGTTTCAGAGCAGGCGCTGTGTCATTTTCTTTATAAGCCTTATTTTTGCATCTGAGCTGATGTGACATTGTAGAAAATGACTAAATGGCAAATTCCATTCATGCTTTTTCTGATTTGCTTTTAACACTGGTGTCCTCCTCGGTCGTCTTCTATTAAGTCCAGTTTATCTCAAACAGTAACGGCTGGTGTGATTTGACACTTTACTTCACCTGGAGTTCACCTCTAATCTCTTATCTCTTGGAACTTATTGATGAAATTTGTCATCAGATTTCCTCTTGCGTTCATGTTCAGGGTGGCTACAGTCTTGTGGGCATAACAACTTAATACAGTACATTGTACTGTAGTCACAGGAATTGTTTGGAGACAGTCTTATAGCTTTTACCTTTAACATGCTTGTCTTTAATTGTCAGTCACATCACCTGAGACAGCTCTGTCCTTAGCTCACTTTTACCTTTTAAATAGGCCGACTGATTACAAATGGTAAATGGCCTGTATTTGTATAGCTAAGGTCCCCAAAGCACTTTACACAACCTGTCATCCACCCACACATTCATCCACTGGTGATGGCAGCTACATTGTAGCCACAGCCACCCTGGCTGTGGCTCCGCACTGACAGAGGCGAGGCTGCCGGACACTGGCGCCACCGGGCCCTCTGACCACCACCAGTAGGCAACGAGTGAAGTGTCTTGCCCAAGGACTTCACCCGAGACTGTCCAAGCCGGGGCTCGAACCGGCAACCTTCTGATTACAAGGCAAACTCCCAACTCTTGAGCCACGATTGTCCCACAAGTTAGAACTATATCTGTAACAATAGTTACAGGACACACCTCGGTTTAAGGTCCCTATAGTCATCTTATTTTTACTCTTTTCTAGAGGTACCATCATTTTTGTCCAGACCAGTTTAATCGGTTTGTTTCTATGAAGGGGAACTGAGCTAAAAATATGTGATTTTTATAGTGAAAAAGTTTTCTGATTATATTTTTTATTTTTCTTTCATGATTAGTAAAAATCAAGCGTGAACTTTCTTCTGATTGGCTGTCTCTGACTCTAAATGACTCTCATTATATCCTCATCACTTTGTATCTGAACACATTGTTTAATTCAAGTTTTGTCTTTCAGGACCACCTGACAGCAGAGTGATTGTGATGGAAGATGATGATGTCATTTTACCCTGCTCCCTCAGCACCAATGAGAACATAGAGAAAGCACTGTTTGTCTGGAAGAAGGAAGGAACAGTTCCTCTAAAGGTGGTGTTCATGTTTGATCCCAGCATATATAGCAAAGGTCAAGATGATGAATTCAAAGATCGAGTCTCACATTTTCCAGGAGAGCTGAAGTACGGCAACGCCTCCATAAGAATGAATAAAACTCAGCTGGCGGACCAAGGAAACTACACCTGTAGTTTTCCAGTGACCCAGCCCAGTGTAAAAACATCCCGCATTGAGCTTGTTGTTGGTGAGTGCTGTTATAAATCAGCTGATTATTTAAGGATAAAACAGTCGGCATGCACATCTGGCAGGGCCTCACCCCCACAGTATATCTGCAGTGAAATTTGCAATATTTGGTGAAGGAAACTGAGACCTTCCCATGTCAATGCTGGTCCTGCGCCTGTCTACTTATCAAAGATCGGAGTTATCCATAGGGTTCAATAAACAAAATAAATTGTAATAAATGAAATAAACTATAAACACTGACTAAGTTAATGTTCATTTTCCTTATATATGAGACACACAGTGTTTTCTGACTGTGATCAAAACACATCCACAACCAAAAACTAGTCTATTGTATAAATGTATAAGGACATTCATAAAATCTGTGACTGTGCCTTCTTTTGTTATTTAACTATTATTTAAAAAAAGAGAGAAAGAATATGTCTAATAGCAGGTTAACACTTCTGAGTTTCTTTTCTCCAGTTCTATCTGACTGCCAAGATCTTGATAACACAGCTAGCTCTAACATGTGTGTTTTTCCTTTCAGAGCCCATATTAAAGGTCCGAAACATCCCAGGTGAGTCCAATTTTTGATAATGTTGCTGATCATTACATCATTGTGTGTGTGTATCTGAATGTATCACTAATTGGTAAAGACATACAGCAGCTTCTTCTACTTGAATCATACAACGTGTGTAAAGATTATCTTTATAAACAGTCCATTGTTCAAACAATGTTAATGATTGATTTCTTTGATATTTTCCGTACAGCATTAACTTTGCAAACATTTATTAAAAATGTAAAAAAATAAATGTAAAATTTATGCAAAATAAATTACTGTTTCTGTTTCTAGAAAGAAAGAAAGGAGCAAAGAGAGAAAGGGTCTGCTGAAATCTTCCCATGTTTTGTTTTTTATCCAAGTTGCAGTTGCAGCTATTTGATGTTTTATTTTACAACTGGACAGTATAATCAAATAAAATTTTGAAATATCAAACATAAACTTATTTAATGCACATATTTTTTATATTGCTTTCTTACAGAATGTATCGGGACAAAATTTTTAAAATTCCTCCAATCCTAGCAGGTCTTAAAATTAGGTAGATAAAATACATCCAGAAATAACCACCAACAAAACATATTACACTGTGTAACAAAAAACCAAGGCAAAAATGCATAAGCACTGTGTGAAAACATAAGAAAAAGTCATAATGTAGCAGCGTGTCGAACCATCTTTAGCAGTCTCTATCATTGTTATGGAGGAATTGTGCCCCAATCTTCTTTGCATTGTTGCTTCAGTTTAACTGAGGTTTGCAGGCATTCCTTTATTAATAGTTTACTGAAAATTTTACCAAAACATTACAGTTAGATTGAGGTCTGGACTTTGGAACATTTTTTTAAGCCATTCCGTTGGAGATTTGCTGTTATTTCCTGAATTAATTTCAACTTCAGCTATTAGCATACTTTCTAGAATACTTTGGTATAAAGAGGAGTTCATGGTCAACTCAGTAACTCAAAGGTGGTTAGGTCAAGCCCAAATTAACACCCGTACATTTCTATTTTGGTCTCATCTATCCAAAGGGCATTGTTCGAGATGTGGTTTGTTCAGATACAACTTTGCAAAACCAAGTTGTTTACTGTCCTTGTTCTTGGATAGAAGAAGCTTTCTCTTGACAACTGTTCAAAATAATTAATATTTGTTTAATCTTTTTCTAATTGTACTGCTATGAACTTTAGCATTTAACACTGAGGCCTGTAGAGTCTGAGATGGAGCTGCTGATTTTTATTTATTTTTTTTAAAATTTATTTATTTATTTAAATTTTCTCTTAGAATTGCACGGTCTGACCTTGGGGTCCGTTTGTTGGGATGTCTTGCAAAGACTGGTAGCTGTCTTGAATATTTTTCCCTTGTGAATAATCTTTATTACTGTAAAACAATAGCCTGAAGTTTGAATACGGCCTCATAACCCTCTCCAGCCTGATAGGCAGCAACAGTTCTCAGCTTATCATCTGAATGCCCAGACCAAAACATCTACTCTTATCGGGGTGCTGATGATTAACTGCTCTTAATTAACTGATCATCAGTTAATCAAGCATTTATAAGTATCTGGCAATATTCCTTTCGGAGGAGTAAGGTAGCATTTAGTTTTTCACAGACAATTTTTGCATTTTGGTTTACTTTTGGAATTAAAAACATAATGACATGGTGTAATATATTGTGTTTTTCATACAATGTTGTATTTAAATAATTTTAGAACATGGTAAGGACCAGATTATTTGTTTCCTGATACATATAACCTCAGAATTAACAGATGTACTTTTCTCTTTACTATAATGGTAGCTATATTTTTTCAAAAGTTAGTCTTTACAATTTGATTTTGTTGGTGGTGGTTATTTTTCATATATTGTTTGAAGTAAAACATTTACGAAGTTATGTTAATCAGTGCTGGAGATATGATTAAGGTCGTACTGTGACATCTAATACTATGAAAAATCACACGTCATATTGTTTCATTGTTAATATTGTCTTATGTTTATGGTGTATGATGTGCTCACAGGTGCTGCTCGAAAGCCCTATGTCACAATACTTAAAGACAAAGGGCTTCTGCAGTGTGAAGTTCCAGGTGCTTTTCCTAAACCTACAGTGGAGTGGAAGGACAGTAATGGGAAAACACTTCCTTCTAAGATGGTGCAGGATGAAGAAGAACAAGGTCGCTTTCACCTCACCATCCAGACTACTGTGACTGATCCTGGCTGCTATCGCTGTATAGCCACACAGATGGAAAAATGGCATCAGATTTCTTCAGAGATTTGTGTGCATGATGGTAAGTGTTGTTGTTTTGTTTGTTTTCTTTTGTTTTGTTTAATAAATGTGAAGAACAACATGTGAGTAAATGCTTATAACGAACTTAGTGTTCCCAGAATGTAGTCTGGGAGGAAACACTGGAAGCACATAAAATCTGGAAGCACAAAGATAACCGATATTGTTTTCAGATATGTAGAGAGGAGATGTGTGCTGAATAACACACATAAAAGATCAAAAATTTTTATTCATGAGGACGGATGCAAAAAATTATTTTTGTTTTGAAATAAAGTAAAATCATTTATTAAATTATTAACCATATACACGCAATAATAGCTTGCATAAAATGCATAATAATGCCTATTATGCATTTTACACAGAATTGTTAAAGGGGGAAACTGTTGTCAGTAAAAATTGACGTCATGCTAAACAAAAATCTGAGCCCTATCTCCTGAAAGAACAATTTCTTTTATTGTTTTTTGTTTGTTTGTTTGTGTGTTTTTGTTTTTTTTGTTTTTTTAAGGTTTCCGGGTAACAGATTAAGTCCTGTTATTGTCCTTAAATGCAGGAGTCACAGGAGCCCACTAAACATCTGATTTCGGATAGGTATGCAGATCATGTCTATATTGGGTACATCAGTCCTTGACCAAATCTGGACATCTATACGACATTCAAACTTAGTCCACAATCTAAACGTCGACCATGACCCAACTCCGATGTCAATATGACGTTCAACATTTGAACTTTGAAATTTTTTTGGACTTCTGTGACAAGTGCAGGGAATTTACATGATTAAGACATTTTTTATTTACAAATATCAACATTTTTGTTATCAGTGGGATACATATGAATAGGACTTATTTACAATATTATGTGTAAGCCTACTGATTTATTCAGTACATGTGAATTTTTGTAATTTAAAATTTTCCTTTTTTTGTTTTTTGTTTTTTGTTTTTTTCCTAACTGGTTATTATCCTAACATTATTTTAATTAATGAACTTTGCTTGTCTGTCTTGATGGATGCTCAGTTATCCCAAAAGGTTCATTCTGTTCATCTGGACGTAGCGTTTTTAGTGGTATTGAAGCCAGAAACTTCCAGAAAGGTTACAGAGTTGATCTTAAAAGGTAAATGGCCTGTATTTGTATAGCGCTTTACTCAGTCCCTAAGGACCCCAAAGCGCTTGACATTCAGTCATTCACACACTGGTGATGAAGCTACATTGTAGCCACAGCCACCCTGGGGCGCACTGACAGAGGCGAGGCTGCCGGACACTGGCGCCACCGGGCCCTCTGACCACCACCAGTAGGCAAACCTGTGGTTAGTATCTTGCCCAAGGATATTTGGCATGGAGCCAGGAGGCAGCCTGGGATCGAACCACCGACCTTCTGATTAGTGGCTGACCTGCTCTGCTACCTGAGCCACACCAATGAATGGTCTTTGATCAGTAGTTGTTGATCAATGGTCATTACAATTTGCATCTTAATGCTCAAGGACCTGACCCCATTGTTCATTCAGTGGTGCTAGTTTCAGTCAAATGTACTGTTTATAAGATTGAGGAGCTGAGACTGAAGAAGTCACTGGATGAGCGACGAAACAAAACTGAAAACGTAACCAGTTTAAAACTGTCATTTGTTAATTTGTGTTAAATATTCAAAACACTGTTAATATTTTAAAATGTAAAATAATAATGGTTAAAGTATTTAGGAACATTTTGAAATTCCTTACAATGTATTTAATTGTAAGGAATGTAATTAATAAGTTTAAAAGAGCATTTGCATCATATATGGTTCATTTTTACAAGTATCCTGTTTTATTGTAAAAAGCTCATGATTGTAAGAGGAAGTGAGTGGTGTTGTGATTGGTATCAGGATTACAGATGGAAAGTACAAGAGGTTTGTGCAAGTATGTATGAACTGGACTATCTGCTCCACAGTCACTGTCAATGTGCACATTTTGCAAACTGCCTGTGAGAAGCTGAGGACATTTCTGCACGAAATCCATCTCCAAGATGGATGTCAGCTGATCACTGCATTTCTTCACACATAACTGTACAGAAATACAGAGTGAAAAGTGGATAGCTCCAAGATGCTTCGGGCTCTCAACACTAAAACAAAAGTGAGCAGCTGCTCGATGGATTTTGTACAGAAATGTTCTCAGCTTCTCACAGGCAGTTTGCAAAATGTGCACATTGACAGTGACTGTGGAGCAGATAGTCCAGTTCATATAGACACACTTGTAAAAAAAAACTTCTCGTACGTTGTGTCACTACTTCTGAGTCCTGCTACTGATCACAGCCACAGTCACTTCTTTTTATTATCATGAGCTCTATACAATAAAATAGAATACTTTTAAAAATGAACAATATATAATGCAAATGCTTTTTTTAAACTTATTAAACACATTGCACTCCTTTTTTCTAAATACTAAATACCATCATTATTTTAACAGTTTAAGAAATGGCTAATTTTGTGGAGCCAATTTAATTAAAAACTTTTAGATAACGTCTTATTTCATAGTGCAGTCTTCACATGTTCTATCCAAATGCACATGCTCTGTCGAATCACCTTCTAATTATATTCAGTTTTTAAACACTTCAAGGATGGATAGCATAGCTAGCTTGTAGCTGATTCGGTAGCAGCATAGACTCTTCATCTTTCCCTACTCCACTTTTCTGCTAATTGGGTCAGATGTTTAGTTAGTCCTCGGCCTCCTTTCGTAATAATGATACTTGTAAAAAATGTAGCCTGTTTGCAGCTCTGGAGGCCAGGATTACTGAATTGAAGATCCGGCTCCGCACCATTGAAAGTTAACTAGGTTCCTGTAGTCAGTGCGGGTGAAGGTAGCATAGCCACTATTAGCTCTCACCCAACAGATAGTCCGCAGTGGAGTCTTAAAAAGAAGCCCCCAGTACACTACCAACACGTTCATTTCTCTAAACATTTTATGTAGACCCTGACACACCCACCAAGGAACAAACTCTGGTAATTTGCATTTATGTTTTGAGAAGCTACAGATACCAGAAACCATAGTGAATGGTCTTCCAGGGGCCAGAATTGGCAATATTGAATGAACCCTGAAACTGCTGGGTTGCTCCAGTCTCCATACCAAATATCCTTGAGCAAGACTGTCCTCTATCTGTGTGCGTGCGTGCGTGCATGCATGCGTGTGTGTGTGTGTGTGTGTGTGTGTGTGTGTGTGTGTGTGTGTGTGTGTGTGTGTGCGCAACCCATGGTCTGGTCCCCTCCCCAGTCAGACCATGGGTTGCATGTTTAGCTGCATATTGTCCTTAAATTGCCAGCTGTCCAAAAAACGATGTGGGCTTTATAGATAATTGGAAAACTTTCTGGAGGAAACCTGGTCTTGTTAGGAGAGACGGCATCCATCCCACTTTGGATGGAGCAGCTCTCATTTCTGGAATTTTAATTCATTTGAAGCCTGATGCTTAGTCTTGTCCAGCCAAGCTGGAAAACTGAAAAAACAGTTTTATTTGTTATGTATCCTCCCCTGGGCCTAAACTTAAAATATATCTGTGCAGTTATAAAACATAACCAAAAAATACAAATAATAGACAACCAATCTGACTAACAGCCAAAATGTTCACAAACTGCTGTTTCAGCAGTGAAGGAGAGGACGCAGTTGTAAATTTTGTGGCCTGACATTCCTTTTATCTCATTCACACTGTATATGAACACACTGTTTAATGCATGTTTCTGTCTTTCAGGGCCACCTGTGATTGTGAAAGAGGGTGACGATGCCATTTTACCCTGTTCAGTCTATGATAAAAGGAACATTGAGTCAATGCCTTTTAACTGGAAGAAAGTAGGACCAGCAGGTCAAAAAGTGATTTTCCTATATGACCCTGGAAATGATGGCAGAACAAGTCAAGATGAGCAGTTCAGAGGTCGAGTATCACATTTTTCAGACAAGCTGAAGAATGGCAACGCCTCCATAACTATCAAAAATACTAAGTCAACTGACAATGGAAAGTACATCTGTAGTTTTTCTGACAGAAATCTTCCAGTTTTTCTTCATGTTGGTGAGTTCCATCATAAAATACTTGATTATTCTTTGATCAAATTGGCCACACAGTCAGAATGCGCATCTGACAGGTCCCCACAGGATTGCAGCCACATATGTACAGTAATACTTGCTTTTTTTGTTAATGAAACTGAGACCTTCCCAGGTGCATGCTGGTCCTTCACCTCCCTGCATATTAAAAATATGAGGTGCCCATAGTGTCTTCACTAGAATTAAATAAAATCAATACTCTTCAGTGTAATTATGAATACCAAATGAATTCATGTTCACTTCTCCCTTTATATCCAATACAAGTTTTCATGAGCTGCTGCTGTACTAAACAAGAACCTTTTGGATTACATCATGTTCTTGCATCTTTTAGAAATCAATTGAGTGTGGTTAATAACTTCCTCATGTGAGGGTATTGAAGAGATTGGTGTTTTTTCCATATCCTTCAGTTTTTGGCACTCTCTCCTATGGCAGTAAATATAATTATTGACAACTGAGGCTATTCTAGATTTTAATGGGTCTGTGTTATTGAGAACTAATAAATAAAGATTATTAAACCAATTAAGTGAGTGAGTGGAATAACGTAAATAAATGAACACCTTTATGACAGTATCACAGATGTGACTGTAATACAGATGTACAATTAGCCTTTATAACAGAACAGATGTGTGAGGTTAAATTTTATTGTGCTGAAGTACCAACTCAGTTAAGCTCTATAAAAAAACGAGGGGCACATATACAGCTAAAGACTTTGTGTGGCAAACTTTGTGTAGTAGGTCACAGCAAATTTTATTTTAAAATTCACTATTGCACTTCCATTAAAACCAAACGCACTCCCCACTCTGTTTTGAAGAAATGGAAAATAGACTTTTGGGGCAGTCTTGTAAATCTTTCTGATTTGTGTAGTTTTTTTTGTTTTGTTTTTTTTTTTTTTTTGTCCCCTGGTTGTAGGATGACAGTTTAAAAAAATAATTGGGTTCCTCACTAATGACTGGGGCCTCACAGCATTAAAATGCACAATCATGCAGTTTAGTCTGAGAGCACAGACTCAACACGAATAGATCCATGACACCTTCTGAAACATTTTGAAGTTTTTTTCCTTGAGGTGGAATCTGATTGATCAAACAGCCTTCTTCATTCAGCCTGGATATGATGAACATTGAGACTTTTCACATGAAACAACAGGTTAAGCAGCACAATAGAAACAGCTGTTTACTGTGTCCTGTGAGGTTTCTGATAATGAGGGTTTCATCTTTAAATCACATTTTACTGTCTAGTTTTTACTTTTCATACACTTTGAAAACTATAAAAATGTGTTCTAATCTAGATGTTGTAATCTATGTTCAGTACATGTTTACTATTACGCCATGAACATGACCACTTTTTTGTGTTTCAGATGCTGCATCTGGGAATGTGATGATTAGAGCTACTTTTATTTCAGTTACATTTGGAATCACTGGAATTGTTGCAGTTTTAACATTCCTGTGAAGCTTGATGTAAGTTTGAGTAATGTATTGTGTCAGCTTAACCATAATGTCAGGGTAATATTCCTTTGTTAGTGTTTCAGATGAAACTTTTCATTGCCTAGGGCACTGACATTTATATGACTTATGCAAATCCCACAATTGTATACATTTGACCATTCAATTGAGCACTAAATGGTGTGTCACAATCACAACAGTCATGTGAAAATCTACATATTTTCAAGCTGGATTAAATCGCCTCTGTTTCAGGATCCAAATATCAGGGTAATGCTTCAGGTCTAAAACACAAACCAAAAAATGTATAAATGCTGAGGGGAATAAATGGAGAAGTTGATGCTGGTGAACAGGGTTACCTTTGGCTCTGACAAAAACATTTTTAAACCTTTATTTATACGGATACAACAGTGCATTTTCATCATGTTGTGGTAAAATTCAATTTTAACTATGTGTAATAAATGTGCAGAAACAGAGCTGTTAGGAGTGGCTGTCCCTGAAATGACAGAACAGCTGGTGAAATGCAAACCAGAAGAAAAAGTGTTTGTTTACCCTGATAAATGATGTAAAGAGAATTTTAATATAACTTATACAGTCTGCATATGATAACGACAGATGTGATTTAAGTATTTTTTTTCTGCAACCCCACAGCTCCAAAGTCACAGGAACAGTGTAGAGCATCCAGTTATCATAAAAAAATCAAAGACCACACAGACGACTCTCTCCACTTCTGAAATTCTCTGCTGTGATCTGAAGCTGTGCAAAGGATGGAAGAAAACCTTCACGTCACAGAGCTTCACTCCACTTTTTCCAGGATGTGAAGATGTACACTGGAGTGTTATTAAGAACCTTTTATTTCCTGGACAGATGTGATGAAACTGTAAAAAATCCTAATTGGTCACAGAGCTGTTTGATATAATTTGCCTTATTTGTAATTTTTTTTTTAAATGTAATGTGAGGGTAAAGAAGATCATAGAATAAGTGATGACAGTAAAACATTAAAGTGACACCAAAGGAACCAAACTATAAGAGACTGACCTGAGAGGTTTGTGTATGACTGAGTGTGGATGAATATTTGCAAGTAAACTGTTAGAACATCAAACATCTGGAGCTAAAATGCATTTAACATTGATTCAGCTGTATTAAACACGAGCACTGATAAAACAGATGCTGAAAAATGATAATACACTTTGTGTATAATGTGCCTTCTTTAGTGTGCATGTGCCTTTGGTATTAGTTTAGATTTTTAAGGCAGTAAGCCAGTCTGGGGTGTGCTACTGATGCTGGAATTTGACTGAAAGTATGTTTATGCTGTTAACTGATGATTTTACATTATTATGTCATTTCAAAAAGTGCTTAAATATTTCTGTGAAAATCTAAATAAAACAAATCAAAATAAGCTATTGTGACTTTTTTATGTCTTCAAACTTTTATAAAGGAAAACAGAATTTATTCAACTATAGTTTAAGTTGATTTCAGGTTTTTGAGGGTAAGATGAATTTTGAATGTAGCAGAATTCTATTATTTAAAACAGGACTTATCATATAAAGTTTCTAATATCAGTCTATATCTGTTGTCTAATATTAAAAAAAGAAACCAAAGTGTTTCTACCTGCAGCAGCTGATAGTGTGTTGGGATGAGTGTTTCTCTGTCAGGAGTCGATGACTGTCCTTTAGTGATCTAAATATTAGTGTTTCCTCCACAGTGATGAAGCTTCTTCTGCTGCTTGCATGTCTCTGCTCACTTTGTCTGGAGTCACGTTTGGACATGAAAGCAGTAAGAAGACTGACGCGTGACGCACTGAACTGGAATCAGCTGGAACTTGGAGTCGTGGAAACTGCAGTTTATCTGTGGAGGGTGGATGAGGTGGGCATCAGCATTCAGCTCAGTCTGAAACTTTATCACATGTTATGAGACACCATGGATCCCAATAAACTGTTCAGATCAACACTGAAGCATTGGCTGAGGTCACACAGACTCCTGGACTCTTACTCCAGGGTCAAAGACCTGCACAGATCCGATTTTAATTTTATTGGATTGAATTTACATTTTAGATTTGCAAAGAAATTAAAATCAGCTGTTTGTGGTGAGAGTGCACAGGAAATAAACAAACCAAAAAACTGAATTGTAACTGTAATGTGATTACTGTATTTAGTACAGCAGTGTATCACACTCAGCACTGCTCAGATCAATACTGAAGCATCAGCTGAGGTCATGTGATTACATCCTCCTCAAAGAGGTGCGCAGCGTCTGAGGGTGTTGTCTCCATCCTGCAGAAAGATACTGCTGTTTCAGGGCAAAAGTGCTTTCCATCAGACCTCATTAATGCTGCATCATCACCATCATCTTCATTATCAGGGCTGCTGGGAAGATTATATATAGATCATATGCAACAGTTGTGATTAATAATACAAATTTAAGATGAGACCTCTTCCGTCTTTTCCTTCAGTACTACAGTTTGGCTTTAGCTGCAATTTGGAAGCTGTAGTGGTGGAAAGTAACTAAGTACATTTACTATCATGTTTGAATGCTCTTCTAAGGTAGCTTACTGTTAGGGTCATATAATGAAACTAATTAAAGGAAACGTCAGTAGAGTCAGCTGGATTATGATCTGGTGACTGTGAAGACCATAACATGTGAGTCACATCATTTTCATCCTCATTAGAGCGACGAGTGAGCCCTGCTGAGCTGTACATGCCCACATCTGTACACATCTGTCCAAATCATCTAAAACTTCACCCCCATCAAAACAGAAACATTTTGCTCTGAATATTTTTTAGATCTGTCTTTCCTAAACATCTATGTTTAAAGAATAACTTTATTCATCTTTACAGGAGTTTGACCATCAGTGAGAACAATTTTGATCCAAACCATGGCAGCAAAACGCCACCACATCCATTCAGTTTTTATTTTAGTTCTAGCTTTAAGATTTGCCATGTGAAGCAACTATAAACACTTTTGCCTTTAAAAAAATACACTATAATGTCCTCTGGCACATTAACCCACCGGGACTCATACAAATAAAAAAGCTGCGATCACAATATTATGATATCAACTGATCCTTTCAGTCCTGTAAGCTGTGAGGTTTGGCCTCCATGGATCAGACTTGTTTGTTCACCAAATCACACAGATGTTACATGCAAAAGTAACATCCACATTGATGGCAGGACTTAAAGTTTCCTACCAGGACATTGCTCAAAGCACCACACACTGCGTCCTCCAAGTCACCTTTTATCCCATAGTGCATACTGGTGCCAGGTGTTTTCCAGGTAAGCAATGATCCAAACCCCGTCGTCCACATGATGTTAAAGAACACGTGATTGATCAGACCAGGCCACTTTCCTCCATTGCTTCATGGTCCACTTCTGATGCTCACGTGGCCATTGTTCACATCATACTGCGATGCACTGTCTATCAGAACCAGCATGAAATCTTATGGCAGTTTGAGCTACAGTAGTTTGTCTGTTGCATCGGACCACACGGGATGACGATCACTCAAATCATTAAACTTTTTCTTTGCTTCTAACATCAACTTTGAGGACAAAGAAGAGACGATCAGTGCTGTTCACGTCAGCTGTCAGTGGACAGACTGTTATACCTGACCAGTGTGAATCAGTCATTAAAGGTATGATCCCTGTACATTATTGCAACGTCTATCCATGAATAAGTGGACAGAAAGGAAGTAATTCCAGACCCATCAGTATACCACCCACTCTTTCAGGAACGGTAGGAAAGGTTTGTTGGTGGCTGATGACCCACTGAAATGCAGAAATGGCAAAAGTACAGATATTCTGTACTTAAGTAGAAGTACAGATACTAGTGTTAAAAAGTATTCAGTAAAAGTTGAAGTACCAGCTCTGAAGTGTACTCAAAGTAGTTAGATTTGTATTGTTGATTGTCATTTATGCTTAGAAACATTTACTCATATATGCTTAGAAGTGTATAATCATCTGTGGATTGAAAGAATGTTTCATCCAGGGGCGGAGCGTGGGGGTGGCTTACGGGGCTTAAGCCCGGGTTGTTTTGTCAGAAGCCCGGGGTATTTTGGAGTGTAATTTTTTCATAGTTAGATGCCTGGCTGACAACTGTATAAAACAAAAAGTACACACAATATTCGAAGCACATAGTGCACACTGTGGGAATTTACGACTGTGCGTGAATCCCCCCTGATATTGGTATGATCCAAGCTCAGGCACTAAGCGACTGAGCGAGGGGGCGGGGCAGCTGCTGCCCGTGAGTGCGCTGTTGGAGAGACGGAGCCAGCCATACTAAGGAGAGCTTAAGTTTGACCAGGTACCAAAGCAAATCATTCGTACTGTACAAATAATGTAAATATGACGGTGCATCACGAAAGATTGATATGAAACTGATCACTTGACCAATATTACGTTACTTGCTCTTCAAGTGAATCAACAAATGGCAAAATGAAAAGCCGAACAAATGCTATTTTTTTTAGAGTCTTAGCTTACGTGTGTTTATTTCATATTTTCAGTTCTTACCCTCCCCGACTAAATCGGTTTCAGTTATGTACTGAAACATAAGAATGGACATTAGAGGGTTCTTTCAAAGAAAAAACTCAGGTAAATGTTATTTTATATATTATGCTTTGTATGTTGTTCAGTATATTTCTATGCAAAACAAGAGGGGTTTCAGTACACAGCAGGATATTCACATTTGTAACCAGATAGTTACATACACTTTAGGGAGAAAACATAAAACATTTTTACTGTACAACATCAATTTAGAGTAAATTTTTGTTTTAGATAAATATTGAAATATATTTTGAATTAGTTAAATTTCAGAATAAAGAGAGACAGAGCTATTTTTATCACTTTCATCAAATTTAGGAGTACATGTACACTAAATTTATTGTTAATTAATAAGAAAACTCCAGACGATTCCATTCTGAGCTGAAGAAGCTTCTGATAGGTTAGTAGAGTCCATGTGAGTAAATTGCTGGCACAGCTGTGGATGCATATAAGGCAAAACACAGAGCCTGTTTCTTTGACATGGGAAAATCAAGAGATATCAACCAAAACACCAGGAACAGAACTGTGGAGCTCCATAAGTGTGGCTCAAGTTTGAATACAATTTGGTGCCATTTGCAATTAAGAAATACAGACAGTTTCTCTCTTTACTCTTAAAGTTAACAAATATGTTTTTATATTTATCAATCTAAAAAAAATAAACATTTAGTCTGATTTGATGTTACAATTAAAAAAGTGTTTTTATCTGAAGAGTAAATATCTGGTTTCAACTGTATATTTGATGATTGTCAGCACAAAGAGGGAGAGAGAGGAGAACGAGGACAGAACAGATGAACAAGAGCAGGTGAGACACACATGTTAGTCAAATGGTTGTTTACCAGAACTATCACCGTATCATAGGTACTCATGTATCTCGTACCTAGTGTTTCTTTTTAGGTTTGTTATTTTTCAAATTCTGTATTTATTAAGTTCTGCAGGCTTGTTTGCACAACAAGGCTAAATAATTATATAAACTTTTCTCAATCTAAATAGTGGACTTTGGTAGAATTAAAAAAATAAGTGTAGTGCAGGTCTATGATGATTTTTAATGCTATCATCTAGTTCTGATTGTGGTTCTGTCTTTGTTAAGTCCTCAGTAGTCCTGATTTTGAACTGTTGTAGTCCTGTTTTTAATTCTGGATCAGTTCTGGGTCTGGTTGAATTGGGGTTTAGTCCTCGTGTCTTGATGCAGCCCTGACCTTGTTCTGCCTTGCTGCTTAATTAAAAAACTAGTTTAAGGTGTCCTGCACATGTGATATATATTTTATATATATATATTTTTCCCTATATGAAGTCATTGTTTTTTCTTTTTTCCAAAAAAAAAAAAAAAAAAAAAATCCCACATGCATACTACTCTTTGGGCTAAGCCCCGGGTGTTTCAAATGTCTGGCTCCGCCTCTGGTTTCATCCTAAGAGGTCTGTAACAACTCTGTGTAGCTGAAGAGGGGGTGCGTTCAGTCCTCTGTACAGAGTGTGTTCTGGCATAGATCACACTCCCTAGGAGAGTTTATCTTGATTTATGGTATAGCAAGCACACGTATATCTGTTTCAGTATAAGAGCCTTTTGTTCAGACATCCTGGCACCAGCTTTAGGGAGTCTTCACAGGGTCACATCTTGACCTCACACAGATCACACACACACACACACACGCACACACACACACACACACACACACACACACACACACACACACACACACACACAGTATTCTTTGTTCACATGTATACCTATGTAGACGTCACATGTTAGTGAACTTATGCATATTCATGTAACCTCAATAAAAGGGCAGTGTACGGGGGAACGGACGAGAGCAACTGGGGCCAAGCGAAGGAACGGCGTTTGTCCGGTACTCTCCCGTGC